GCCGCCTCCTTGGCTCCTCCCGCGCGCACACGGAGGCTGGAAGGGGCCTCCCACCGCGCCGGCATCATCCCTGTGCAAAACCCCTCACAGAAACCCTTCCCAATTTCAGGCCGCTGCCCTCCTCCCTTGCTAGAGCCCCCTGGCAGGTTTCTGTCTCCTCCAGTGGACGCCTCCCCCCCGGGGGTGGTAGCCCTTGAGGGGGAGGGAGGCTAAATATGAATTAAACCAGCCCCCAGGTATCGCCGGTGGGTCCCCAGCAAAAGGAACAGGAGAGCGGATGTTGTGAGGTTTGACCTAGAAACTACTATACAAAGCCCAAGCAAAAGTCTCTGTTATGTAACTAACGCCCATCTGCAATGATAAGGAGGAGACAGTCTTAGATAAAGGAGGCTTGAAAACAAAAGCAGAATCAGAGGACTAGGGCAAAGAGCTCATTAAAATACTAAAAATTACGCCCCTAGGTGGGGAGAAGGTATGCTAATGAAACATACATGTATGTAAACGAGATACATAGCTAAAACACAGGTATAGAGACATGCTCAGTAAAGAACTCCTTGCGTCACTCCCTTATAACCAATTAGCAAACAAGAATGCTTATGAAGGTCCAATACTCCTGTATAAAAGATGCTCATAATTAAGACTCTGTGTGCTTGTTACGTGAAATTATTCCGCTTGCACCTTGTATTGCTAGCAATAAATCTTCTTTATACTTTCACCCCTGGTATCTTTATTGGCTTTTGCATACCGGGCACGATCCCAGACTTGAGCTGGGGCCCAACAGTTTTTGGCGACCCAGATGGGACTGCCTTAGATAACTTTGCCCGGACTAGCTGACGACCAGACACAGCTCTTCCTTATCAAATGTCAGGCGCGCCCCGGGATCTCTTTTCCCGGTGAGACTTTTGTTTCAGGGGGAGCTGGATTGCTGAGGCGGCAGTAGCCTAACGGTGCAAAGTCATAGAGTGAAAGTATCAGTAACAGGCACCTGGGTGAGAGGGTAGAAAGGGCATAAGGCCTACCGTCAGCACGCCTGCCTGGGATTATCTCTGTAAGTATTCTGTCTGGCCCGAGTCCAAGACCAGTGATTTTTCCCCTGTGAGGACGAGGACTAAGAACAGATCCCTGGATCCCAGGTAAGTCAGACGGTCAGGACCGGGAAGGCAGCCCTGAGATGGGTACTATTAACAGTAAGGTTAGGAAATGTACCCCCCTCTCTTGTGCATTGGGACATTGGGCAGAGTTTGGTGGAGATCCTATGACTAGGAAGAAAGCTAAATTCTTCTGTGAAACTGCGTGGCCACGCTATCAGCTAGATGATCAAGAACATTGGCCTCCGGAGGGAAGTGTTAATTATAATACTATCTTACAATTGATTTTGTTCTGCCGGCAGAATGGTAAATGGGAGGAATTGATGTATGCGCAAGCGTTTATGTCTCTTAGTAGAAATAGAAAGGTTTAGAGATGGCTGTGGCTCGACCAACTGCAAATACTGTCCGGAGCCGGAGGCTTCCCCCGCCCTCTGCTGCCTTTACCTTATTCTCTTCCTCTTCC